AGAAATTGAGTGGCCGTTGTTATATACAGAGAAACTCACAAAACAAACAAGGATAACCAGTTACTGTGCAAGAAGCACAGAATCTTTCGACCACAGTATTGAAAAAACACAAAAGTTATTTATGTTCTAAGTCAATTTTTCTTAATGTCGTGATAAAAAGGTCTGAGAAAAAAAATTTTGGCATGTTTTTCATAAAAATGTCTATTGGAAATCAGTTTTTGAAGAACAATGACTAGAAAAACGAAAAAAAAAAGAAAAAGTTTCAAACATATTCAAGCTTTTGATTCTCAAAATTGCGCTAAATAACTAAAAAAACTTGAATAAAACGAAAATTTCACGGCTTAAATTAATCTTATAAGCTATTGCTTTTATTAACTACCTTACTACTTAGCTCGAAAATAGACCAAAAATCAAAAATTGCAAACCGGTTTTTCTGAACACTGTAAAAAACTTTCTGAATTTTTTAAATGTCGTTCAAATTACGATTGAAAGGATTTTAATATGATATTTTACTCAACCTTGTCTGATGATCTTTTTGTGGTAAAAAATTGAAAAAAATAAAACACCAAATAAAAACCCGAATAAAAAGCTCCTCCCCATTTTCAATGGTCGGAACAATAAAGCAATGTAGGTTTCTCAAAACAAATTAGGGAAAAGCATCTGTAGCAAACAATCATTGTAATAAATGGAAAAATTTGAACATAAAATTTAGAAAAGTCAAATCTGATCAAAAATTTAAATTTGAACTTAAAATTTTTTGATAAATTTACACAATAAAACTTCCTAATTCCTATTGTTAGATACATTAGTTGTTTTCGAGATTATTTTATGTATCTAACAATAAGTATTGTTTCATTTTTGTTTATACATTGTGTATTTGTACAATTACCTGCTGGTGTAGTTGTTGTTTTTTAACTTACAATGTTAATTTCATTATGTAGCAGCGTGTTTTTTTTTATCCAAGTGGTTACTGTGATTTTACATATTTGTGAAAATATATAACATCCATATATCTAAGCAAGCCAGGAAAACAACCGCTCTGATGCACCATGCATTAATATTCGACTATAATAGATTTTCACTGACTTTTTCAATTAATTTGAAAAATAGCAAACTATATTCAACTGAAAATGAATTATAAAAGTACTAGTTAATCAATTGACAAATTTACTGTTTTGAAATTTATTTTAAAACTTTTGAATCAAGGCAAGGCGAGAAGGAAACAGTGTTACACCAAATAAAACTACAGTTAAAGTATCCAAAATGCGAATCTAAAGATGAGTCGATTAAAACTAAACGGGTCGAAGTATTTGACAATTGTTTTGATGTTCTCGGCCAACAATTTCTATGCCTCGACTGTCTCAGTATATTTTGGGTATAATTACACATTCCCGACGAAAAAGGCTCTGCTTTGACGGCATGGACCGAAACATTGTGCTCAGTGTTTTTGGACCGGTGAACATCATTGTATGTTCGAATCAGTTCAGCATTTTTTGCCCAACATGACCTTTTGCTTGACTCAGCTCACACATGTTTCGAACGGCTCAAAAAAATGGGAAGGTCTTTGAAATTCTCGACCAAAAAGGAATACTGAATTTTTCGAACCAGATCAAAAAACTCAAAATTAGCCATATCATTATCCGTTACGCAAAATTAGCCATATCTTGTTTTATTTTCCAACTATCTGGCTTTTCCGACAATCTACAACGTTGTTTGGGAACAGAAACTGTAGACACGGTTGTGTTTTTCTATCATATATGCCCACTTACAGCCTTGACTAGGGTTATAAATATAAAACTTTTCTCAGTGTCAAAAGGACCATTATGAAGGTGTAGTTTTTTCAGAGGGGTGATTGCAACTTCTTAACTCGTTTTCAATATGTTTTTATAATCAAACAAGCTTCAAAAACTGGTTTTATGTTTTTAGTAAACTATATATTTTTAAACTAAATAGCAATATTTATAAATAACGAACAATAATTTATTGCTAAACTCGATCGAAATTGGACTAAAACTCAAATATTTAAACTGGTTTTTCTCAACACTGGGAAATGTTTATAGACACTTGCTAACGTCGTTCGAATCACGACTGAACGCGCTTCAATATGATCTATCATTCGCATCATTCCGATAGTTGGTTGTGGTATTTATTTTGCGAGGAAAACAAAAGAACTGAAACACTTCCGAATACTAAGTTCCACACATTTTTCGGAAAAAGAAATTCCACACATTTTTCGGAACGAAAAGAAGCAGTACCCACAATTTTCCAACTGTGCTCGATTTGCGATTGGCGGTCGAGTGTGTTGAGATTTTTATAGACCACCAAAAGTGCGTAAGTTTTTTCTTCCGGCTCCAGTTAATATTGCTTTCCAACCGGGGTTTTCAATTGTTAACAAAATGGCTGACTTGCAGACTAAATAAAAAAAGACAAACAAAGAACCAAACAATGTTCGGAAAATAACCAACTAATTAGTTAAGAATTCAAAATTTTCACGATAACTAATAGTCATGAAAAGAAGCATGAAAAACAATAAGCTTGATTAAAGAAGTTCATAATCAGTCGCCCGGGAAAACAAGACATTTTCCCAGCATTACAACATCAAATCACAATCTGCAGCTGTGTTTCATCACACTTTTTTGGGCTTCCAAGCAGTTGAAACTGAAATGTTCTCGAATACCTGGTTCCGGTCTTCAACTCAATCTCCACACTTTTCCAACCCAATAATTTCCACTCATTTCCAACGCGAAGCAATCATTTGCTAACTGGCAGCATGCAACCCTCTTCTCTTGACATTGATGTCTGTTTTTTTTTGCCGATTATAATATAAATGAAAAAAGAAATGCCAGTAAATGGGCTTTAATAAGATTCCCTACATATTGAACTCTGAATGTGCATACTTTTTTCATGACTAGCCAGGGGCGGATATATGATTTTCTCGAGAGGGGGGATTTTTCAAAAGTTTCAAAAAATTTGTCTCCTTTTACTATATTGGTTAATTGGTTTACTGAGCTCTTCGAAATCAATACAAATACCTCATTTATACCTATTTTTTCTCCCGGGCAATTAAAAAAACAAGTCAAAACGCCGTTTTTACACTTTTGGTTCCTAAAGCACTACAAAGACCCTGTTTTTGCCAAAACTTCTGCGGCGCAGGCAAAATTTTGAATAACAGGCCAAAAAAGCCGTTTTAGGCCTTTTTTGGAAAATAATCACTAAAAAACCGCGTTTTTTGGCGCGCGCGCCCCCCTCAAAGTTAGTATTTATTGGCGCCGAATGCGCCTTTAGAAAAATTTTAGAATCCGTCACCAAAAATTGAAATCTCAAAATAATGCAAAGTACAAAGGGGGGACCCTTTGTGTTGGTAGGGGGTCGAATCCCTGAGAAAAAAAGCGTCCATCCCTGCCCCCCCCCCCCCAAATCCGCCCCTGCACTTAAGTACTCCAAAAACGTGGTCTTGCGGCTTAATATAAAATTTGTTGTGTTGCATATCGTGTTTAGCAGCTCATATTCTAAAATCTGCACTGTATGAAATGTTGCAAATTAAAAAAAAATACGACAAGACATTAGGACGACATGACATATGACCATATGACAAAGATGAAAAGATGAGCGGAGACTTTCTTCTGGACTTTAAGATAAAGCTTACGATATTCTCCAATTGTATTTCTGAGAAATATGAACCGCAAAAATCAAAACTACCGGTTCCATAGCATGTGGTTTATATTTCTCAGAAGCCTAAATGAATAGTTGCGCGTACCGCCGTGTTTAAGTCCCATAAAAACGGGTTTCGTCTTAACAGCAGTTTTATCATTCGAATGATAAAAAAAATTGTCAAAAATGGCTAGTTAAAAAGTCGAAATTTGTCTGAAGAAAAAAAAACCCACCCCGAGCACAAATATTCCGTTACTTTCGTATCGAAAGTCGGAACAAAAACAGAGATTTCATTCCTTGTAACAAATCAATTATGGCAAATAAGCTTCTTTCAACCAATTTGGAACGATTTATAAGACGGATTAAATCTCCGCTTACGCGTTAATAGCGCGAATTATATCGCGCGTTAATTGTCCCAAATTGGCCAAAATGACAATCTTTAAATCCCCGTAACTTTACGAAAAATGATCACAGGTAAGATATTTTTTCAAATTTGAGCTCAGGACAACAATACCTTTCGAATGATAAAAAAAATCGTCAAAAATGGCTAGTTAAAAAGTCGAAATTTGTCTGAAGAAAAAAAAACCCACCCCGAGCACAAATATTCCGTTACTTTCGTATCGAAAGTCGGAACAAAAAGAGAGATTTCATTCCTTGTAACAAATCAATTATGGCAAATAAGCTTCTTTCAAACAATTTGGAACGATTTATAAGACGGATTAAATCTCCGCTTACGCGTTAATAGCGCGAATTATATCGCGCGTTAATTGTCCCAAATTGGTCAAAATGGCCAAAATGGCAATCTGTAAACCCTCATAACTTTACAAAAAATGATCACAGGTAAAATATCCTTTCAAATTTAAGCTCAGGACAACAATACCTTTTGAACGATATAAAAAAAATTCCGTCAAAAATGGGTAGTTAAAAAGTCGAAATTTGTCTGAAGAAAAAAAACCCAACCGAGCACAAATATTCCGTTACTTTCGTACCGAAAGTCGGAACAATAACTGTTTCTTTGCTAATTGTTGATGCCTGAAAGTATACTGATGTTTTCAATCCATTAATCGTAAAATATAAAATGATTTGTTTTTCGGATAGCTAATATATTTGATCTTGGTATGTTATGCTTTCTACTGCTGTTCACTAAGTTTTTCTTATGATAGTTTTTTATGCTCTTAGAGGCTTGTTCACATATTTAAGTGCTTATCATCGTGTTAAAATGTCTGCGTAAAAGATTTTAACTATATGTTCCGGCATAGTGATCCAGATATAGTGGCTAAATAGATATATTCCAGGTATAATGTATACATTAACGATCATGCTTTTTGATTCCTGTAAAATAAAAGAATTTAATATACAAGTTCAAGGATCATGTTTTCGTAGCTCTTTGTTGTGCTATTCCATCCTTCTACAAACAGTGTGCTGTTGTCGATAGCTGCGAGAAGCTCACGCACTTTCACCTCACTCTTGATTTCATATGTGCTCATTGCCTTACCCACACTCTGCTGCTGCTGTTCATATAATGAATCATCACTCCAAAATATAGTGGAGAACAGAAGAGTCGAATCATTATAATCCTTTATGGTTATAAAATGTTTATCTGACATGACCAAGAATTTTCCCTCGCCTTCTGCTGCTAGTCCCCATATGAACCCCGAGATAGATGGAGAGGGTGTCTCACTATACCGATACACAAGTACTTGATAATAATCACCCACAATTAACTGACCATGTCGTAATGCCATCTGACGAACTTCACTTGGCCACTGAAATTTGCTGTCTTCTACAGAGATAGCAGACACCCAGCTGTCATTAATGAACACATGAACTTTGAAGGAACCAAGTGAATGCACCAGCAAAGTGTGTCCAAATGCAGTCATTCTTACATATCTCTCATCTTTGCATGGCAGAAACATACTCAAACTGATCAGGTATAACTGTAGAAAATTAAAAGCATACTAAGAAGTCACATTTTGATACAGTAGCTTTTAAGATTTTAATTCATGAAAGTAAGAAAAATGTGCACACAAAACATTGGAAAATTGTCCTTTGTGTTAATATTTTTTGAAAAAAAAACAAGCTGAAGGGAGAAAGAACTTGTTAAAAACTTCAATTTGTGCATAATACACCGTTGAGTTATTCCATTGGTATTCGGTTTGGATTACTTTAGGTACCATAATGAGTGATGAAAAACTGTTGCATATCTATTCCATGTTTGGTAGTCCCAGTTTAGCAGTTTGGGCTTTCAACAGGCGTGTAATTATGACAATAATAAGAATTTCAAACTGATTTTTAAGCATGTGTTTTCAACAGCTAGAAGTGCAATTATCGGTTTTTCAGCAACGCCGATTTTTCAAAATTCTGATTTTTCCATTGCTAATTATGGACAACGCAGGCGTGGATGTAGGAATTTCTCAAGGGGGGGGAGCTTTTCAAAAAAAATTGAAAAGTGTGTCGGCGAGAGAAGGCCAAAAAAGGCGTTTTTAGGGGCACTTTTTGGAAAATTTCGACCAAAAATCGCGTTTTTTCGGCGCGCGCTGCCCCCTCAAAATTAGTATAGATTGGCGCCTGTCTACGACCTTTGAATTTTATTCTATGCCGAACCTAATTTTGCCACATTTTCGACTTGAATATGCCGCCAAATTAGTAAACTGAAAGACTCAAAACTCAAAAATCAAAAAGAAATCATTTAAAAGAAACAACTAAACTACGATCTGAAATTGGAATCTTAATCATCCAAAACGTATTGCCATTGTCATTGGCGCACAATAGTTTTTTAAAAAAAGAAACCGAAACCAAGGTTTTTTTTGTTTGAAAAATCAACGAACTCATCCTTATACTAACCAATCATATTGTTTATTTTTTTTTCTTTTTTTGGATTGTAAGTTCCAAAGAAAAAAAAATTCAAAGTCATTTTTTTTGTTACAATACAATTGCGAGGGTTCCATGTAATCAAAGGAATTACATATTGGCCATTTTACATTTTGTCTGACACGTCAAAACGTGAATTAAGTTTAGGAGACATAGTCAATTAAAAATGAATTCAACCTATGATGCTGTTTTTAAAGTCATAGAAACAGACGTAGAAATTTTAGCAAAAGCAATTAACCAAGCCATAAGCGATTCCGACGAAGTACAGATCATAAACGATTTCTTAACGGAATTGAAGAGCTTGCTCGACGATGCCAATAACGAAGTTGTCAAGATAATACGCACCGGAACGGACCAGCAAGACTCAATCATTGAACGATTGAAAACTTTGAAAGTTTTGTACCGAACGATCCAACTACGATCAAAACGATACGAGCGTACCCTCAAAAACACTGCCACGTCTTCTTTAAACTCATCACGAGTAGCCAGCAACGTCTCGACGCCTTCAATAATACGACAAGCCTTGGAAAAAACTTCCCCTTCGACGCCAAACGGAAAGTTTAACCCGTAGTACCACTACACAAAACGTCACCATGAACCAGAACACCCCGAACGATTTGCCACAATTTTCTGGATTGCCAGCAATCTTAAACGCTACTTCAAACTACAGATCAATTTCCGCCCAGGACAATTCAGGACTCCTACTTCGCCCCGGATCTAACAGCGACGCCAATACCTTGGATCATCGCATTCATCAACAACAAACAGAAACTCTTGGAACTCAAACTGCCCATGGAACTCACCTCCATCCTCAGTCAAACCTCTCATTGCAGCAGTCGAACGCCGACTTGTCACAAAGTTCAAACCTTCAGCCGAACCACACAGAAGCTCAACTTCAACGAACGACTATAGAATTGAACAATGGAACTCAACTCCAAATCGACAATCAGCAATTGACAGCAACAGTGGGACAAAGACCAAACTCAGAAGCTCAACTTCATGAAACATCACCGCACTCCAACCCTGGAACTCAAATCCAAGTTTTCAATCAGCAGATGAACGCACCAGCAACCCGACAAAGAAATGTTTCAGCGCCAATATTTCTTCCAACAGCAACTTCAAAAGCAGCTCAGAGTCAAATGATTGGACAGCAAATCACACACCCAATTCTTGCTCCCCAGACAGCTAGCCCCCCACATGGACTACACCGGCCTTCAAGCCAACAACAGAACCAGCCTTCAAGCCAACAACAGAACCAGCCTTCAAGCCAACAACAGAGGACACATAGTCCGAATAGCGCCTTTAGACCCATCTTGACGATTGGAAATCAGAATTCAACCAATCATCCCCCCACCAACGTGTTCAGGGGACACCAAACGACAGCTAAGGGTATCACAAACATCAACGGAGTACCGATACCAGCACAACCAGCACTACTGCCAACAAACCAAGGAGATCAACGAACAGCAACAAATTGGACCTCCAGCCAGCCGACCCTGACTCACCAATGTACACAACCTGCCATACGATCGTACCAGGAAGGATTTCTGGGAACTACGACAGCATACAACCCTACGAACATGCCGACATCATCAACAACAGCCTTCGCTCATGCAGGCTGCAGGGGACCAACAGGAACAACTCACCCAAATATCAACCGACCTCCCCCTCATCAACATGCAGTCCATCAACATGCAGCACATCAACATGCAGCACATCAGAACCAGCCGACTTATTTTCCGATTCCGACCAACCTTGGAACAGCACCGACAGACGACAGCCATCATCAAACGATCTCGAAGACATTCAGGAAATCAGTGCCCATTGTCAAACCATTCATATTCGACGGAGAACCTGAATAATGGTTAGATTGGATAGGACTGTTCAACGCAACCATCAACAGCACCGACATGACAAACTCGGAAAAGATGACACATCTGCAGAAACTTGTATCTGGAGATGCCAAATCTCTCATCCGAGGATATGGATGCAATGGAGCAATGTATGACGCAGCCCTTCAGCGACTGGAAAACGACTTTGGTAACCCGACGAAGATAGTTATATCCTTCCTTCGACGACTCGACGCCATCAGCGGCCCCAATCTACGACATACCAGAAGCTACAAGGACCTCGCCAACTTCCTACAGAAAATGGTCGATACATTCACGACACTTGGATTCCAGCACGATCTACACTCTACGACAAATGTCCAAACAGTTTTGTCAAAACTGCCTACCCCTTGCCGATTAGAATGGAATAGATACAATCTGCAATGCAACATCAGACAACCATCACTCATCGACCTCACCAATTGGTTCAACAACTACGCTGAAGCATGCAGCGATTTGCCGAGCAACAGCAACAACAACAACACCAGAAACAGCAGCAGCAGCAACAACTACAACAGCAGCAACACTCAAGGATCATCATCCAACGGTCACACCCACCAACATGGACCATCGGATCACCGCGCCAATCAGAACAACCGGAAGCAGCAACGCAGCCAGCAGTAACATAAATCTGGACAAAAGGATCAACGACGAGATTTTTGCCCGGAGAAACGCAATTGCCAGTACCTTGGAAAATGCCAACACTTCATCGCAATGATCCCAAAGGACAGATTACAGCATGCTAGGGACCTACAACTATGTTTCAACTGCCTCAGCCCCTACAAGTTCGCCGACTGTCAATCAACGCAAACCTGCCGGACGAACGGATGCAGTAAGAAACACCTAACACTTCTGCACAACAGCAGCACCTACAACTCGACGACACAGAGGGAGACAGCCAACCGGATCTCCAGACAACATGACGACACCACCAACTGCAGCACCAGCATAAGCAGAAGGAAATCGACTCGCCACATTCCGACCCTGCCAATAACGATCTCTCATGGCAAACATAGAGTTCATGCCTATGCAATGCTTGATTGTGGAAGCAAACTGACATTGCTTAAATCATCAATCGCCCTCCAACTCAAACCAGATCTGCAATTAGACGACACCATTCAGCTAAACCAAGCACTGACATCATCAGACACAGCTTCTACAAAGATGACGATCGCGATTGGACCCTACAACCAGCAAAAGCAGCCATTTCAACTAAATGACATCGACGTCATAATGGATTGGAACCTTTCCCAATTCAACCCTGAACTCGTCAACTCTATCTGCCAAAGGAACGAGCCACTTCAACACATTCGGATAGCCACACTGCCCTCGAAAGAAATCGGAATCATCATTGGATGCGATTTCGCCGAACTCGTGACACCTTCAGAAGTAAGCCATTCAAAACAAAATGTGCCTATTGGATGGAAAACGCCACTCTCTCTGTGGACGAGACAATGCAGCGACACCCAACGACACCAACACAATCAACTTCACGACAGACGATACACTGTTTCGCCACGTAGCTGAATGGATAAAAATGGATGCCGAAGGGATTTCAACTAACCAACGCAGCCTCTCAACAGACGACAAGGAAGCTCTCCGCATCTTGGAATCTTCAACAACCCGCTTGCCCAATGGACACTACGAAGTTGGAATGCTTTGGAAACGTGGACAACAACTGCCAAACAATAGATGGCTTGCCAAGAAGCAGCTCGACAGCCTTCTCCAACGACTGAAGAGAAACACCGAGATGGCACAGAAATATCAGGAGACCATCGACACCGACTTGCAGAAAGGTTTCATAGTCAAAGTTGATGATTCCCATGAAGACTCAACAGGAAATTGGTACCTTCCTCATCATCCAGTGACAAACATCAATAAACCTGGCAAGGTACGCCGAGTCCTTAATGCATCGAGCATCTACAAAGGAGTATCACTCAACAGCAACCTACTAACTGGACCAGACCTCCTCAAAAACCTTACTGAAATCGTTATGCGATTTCGCGAGGACCAAATCGCTATTTCTGCCGACATTGAAGCAATGTTCATGCAGGTCTTTGTGAGCCCAGAGGACCAGCCGTATTTGCGATTTCTGTGGAAGGACAACACGGGCCAACCCGCAACCTTCCAATACACCCGCCACATCTTCGGAGCTACCGAATCACCATGTGTTGCCTGCTACGCCACTCGACAATGTGCGAAGGACAATGCCGACAAATATCCAGCCTTGCAGCAAATCACAAAACGCAACATATACATGGACGACCTATACAAAGCCGTTTCAACAACGACGAAACGACACAGTTAATGAACGACCTTCAAAAGATGTTCAGCCTTGGAGGTTTCAACCTCACAAAATGGACCTCAAACTCTCAAAAAATCCTCACAACAGTCAACGAGAACCCCTTGGAAAACAGCGACAGCCTCACCAAGAGGGAACGACCCCTCGAAAGAGTTCTTGGAGTGAAATGGAAACCAGACACGGACGTCTTTCTTTTGGAAGCAAAGAAGTTTCACGCCATTGACAAGAAGGACTTAACGCAGCGCAAACTATTGAAGTTTGCTTCTTCAATCTTTGACCCGCTTGGAATTACGATGCCACTGACAATTCGACTACGACAGTCACTTCAACTTGCCTGGAGTAATGGACCTCAATGGGACAAACCTCTAAACATGGAGCATTTAACAGACCTCAACGATTGGATAGACAAGCGAAGCCAATTCAACGACATCTGCCTGCCCCGGATTTACTTCAAACCAGAAACGAAGATACTGAAAACCCAACTCCATGTATTCAGCGACGCCTCCGAACTTGCCTTAGCATCAGTTGCTTACCTTAGAATCAGATACGACGACGACACAACGGAACTCAAGTTCGTCATTGGAAAAGCCCGAGTAGCACCCAACAGCAGAATGACAATTCCAAATCTCGAGCTTCAAGTCGCCACCAACGGAGCTAAACTGTCTCGTTTCATCAAAGAACAACATGACATACGAATCGACAGTACGACACTATGGACAGATAGTACAACAGTTCTTCATTGGATAAACTCGCCAAGTCAATGAGACCGGATCTTCATTGCCAACCGCCTGAATTTCATCATGGACTCAACATCTTCACTGGAATGGAGATACGTGCCCAGCAAAGACAACCCTGCAGACGACGGAACACGTGGTTACAAAGCATGTGACATGACTACCGATTCACGATGGATCAAAGGACCAGACTTCTTGTTAAGACCATCATCAGATTGGCCTAATTACCCCCCAACACAACCTACAGCCGATATTCATCTGACAGACAACGACCCACAACCGCCAACATCAGTAATCGACTTCAACCGATTTAGCACTTGGACATGAGCACTCAAAGGTACTTCATATGTTCTTCTCTTCGCAGAAAAGATCAAAAGGAAGACACGCCAGAGCCTCTCACTTCAACACCTCACCTTAGGATTCGCATGGATCATTAAACACTCACAGAATCAATCATTCCCCAAGGAAATAGCATGCCTGACAAAGAAATCTGACATTCCACCCCGCAGCCCTCTACAACTTCTTTGCCCTTTCATCGACAATCACGGAAACTTACGTGCCAAAGGACGACTACAGAAAGCCCCGCGTTTACTTTGCAGCCGACATCCAGTCATTTTGAACGCAGAAAACTACCCAATACAACTCTTCATGAAGCAAACACACAAAAATATTCCCATTGTGGAATGGAACACACCCGAAGCATTCTTCAGCAGGACTTTTGGATCATAAGATCACGCAAGCATCTGAAGAAAACTATTCGACAATGCATACATTGCCGACGCCTTCGACAGGAACCAGTGAAGCCTCTGATGGCAGATCTACCCCTACAACGACTCCCTTTATCGGAAAACAGTTACCACTTCTACTCAACAGGAATTGACTTCTTTGGACCCTTTGCCACGCGGAACAACGACGAGTACAGTAAGCGATACGTTCTCTTCTTCACCTGCCTCGTCACGCGAGCAGTTCATTGAGAAATATGCCAGCAAATCGACACAAACTCAACTCTACAAGCCATACGCCGTTTCATCGCTAGACGCGGTAAACCCAGGATCATCTTCTCTGACAACGGAAAAGCCTTCGTTGCAGCTGACAAGGAATTACAGGAAAGCCTTTCTGAGATTCAACGCAGCAACGACTTCAAAAATCAATGCCAATTACTTGGAATAACCTGGAAGTTCAACCCACCTGCAGCTCCTCACTTTGGTGGATCATGGGAACGCCTCATAAAAACATTTAAGATTGCCTTCTACAAAGTCATTGGAACACGGACACCGGACGACGAAACTCTGTCAACCTTCACGTGCGAGGTTGAAGCTATGATGAACTCTCGCCCGCTAACCCACGTCTCATCAGACCCAAACGACGACGAGCCCCTTACACCCAATCACCTTCTGCTAGGACGACCAACAAACAATTTGCCTCCTGGATTGTTTCTCCCTCGCCACAAAACGGACAAGAGAACTTGGAAACAAGCTCAAGCCTTGAGTCAACAGATAACTCAAAGACTACTTGCCAACCTTGACGACCCGAACGAAATGGACAAAGCAAGTGGAAAATCTTCAGCAAGGAGACCTTGTATGGATACTGGAAGACCTAACGCCTCGAGGTCTTTGGCCCCTGGGACGGGTACTTCGTACTTTCCCAGGTGCAGACGGAACCGTTCGCTCCTGCGAAATTAAAACTAGCAGGGGGATTCTACACCGACCAGCAGTCAAACTCTCGCGAGTATTGGACCACAGTAACAACTAGATGACCAACATGATCATCGACAGCTAACAACTAGATGACCATTACAATCAACGACGACGTACCATCAGCTTCAACGAACAATTTTCTAATTTGCAACTTGCAAATGGGCCCGGCTATGTCTTCGACATTTGAACTTTATTCTTTGCCGAACCTAATTTTGCCACATTTTCGACATGAATATGCCGCCAAATTAGTAAAAACTGAAAGACTCAAAACTCAAAAATCAAAAAGAAATCATTTAAAAGAAACAACTAAACTACGATCTGAAATTGGAATCTTAATCACCAAAACGTATTGCCATTGTCAGCGCCAAAGGCGCCTTCAGAAAATTTTAGTGTCAGTCAGCCAAAATTGGATATCTGAAAATAGTACAAAGGGGGACCCTTTGAGTCGGCAGGGGGCCGAATCACTGAAGGAGGGGCGTCCGCCCCCCAATCATAATCCGCTACTGGGACAACGCATTATTGCATAATACATTTTCAAAACTTGCCCTTGATCTGGAATGAATTATTTTTTCTAATATCATTTTTCAGGAGATTTTCACGACCAAAGTTCAAACTTAAAAAATTTTCACCGGGTCCGTTCTTTTTCTCTTGAAAAACTTCAATTTATAGCTAGCGGTTTTCCATGAATTTGCCTTTTGAATCTGAAAGTTTTTGGTTCCTTGATTTCTACATTTCCTAATTGCGTAGCTCAAAAAGCAACATCATTCTTGCACTCTTACAAACACTCTGGAAATACCGCAAAGACTCAATTCGGACAACTTTCTGAAAACAATTGCTGGTGTTATGAAAAAATGTTAGCTTCAATTCCGACGCACCAAATTATCATAAATTAGTGCTGATTGAGCTGTTAAAATTGTTAATTAAATTAAATTGTCGGGTTCCTGATTGAGTTTCATATGGTCGTGCTGCAAAACTTTTGTTTCCTCCTTTTACCGCAAAAAAACTGTTATAAAAATCACCAACAATGGATTTTTTAATCAGTGAAATGATGAAAATGATTCAAGATAAAAGTAGAAAAAAAGATATTATTCATAATTGTTGCTAATGAAAAAAATAGCTACAAATTCGCTAAATGACATAGTAATTTTTTAAGTACGCGATCAAAAATATTGATCATTTTGATGTATCTTCAGTACATTGAGAAGCAACCCAGGAATAGTATGCAAGCTGAAATCGGATTACTGGAGATAAGGTTTTGACCAATGTCTTATATTCATTCAAATTCCAATAAATGATTTCTTAAGTAGGATAATCATAACGAGAAAAATACAATCTATCGTGAATACCTGTGGAGAAAAAGTGGCCATCTTTCAAATCCAATGGAATTTGATATTCATTAGATGTGAGTTGATTATCTTCAATTGACCAAGCTCTCATTACCTGTATTTTCTGCCGAATTTGTACTGATAACAGAAAAAATTGTTATTGTGATTTTAAAGAACAGGATAATACAACGCTGCGCTCCCCAGGCTGGAGTGCGCGGCCAAATTGGGTGGAGGAAATGTCTATTTAGGGACCGAAAAGCCTCAAAGTAGTAACTCAGCTAAATTTGGGTGCGTAGAGTCGCTCAAAGTCTACAGAAAGAGTCGCACAAGGTCGAAAAATGAGTCGCGGAGGTTCGCAACGTGAGTCGAACAAAGTCGCAAATTGACTCGTGCAAACTCGCAACATTAGTCGTGCAAAGTTGCATCAGAAGTCGCAGAGAGTCCCAACCTAACTAAGGCAAAGTAATTTTATGATGAATTTTCCATTGCGCGTGTGGTGAAAAATCCAGGGAGCTAATTTTAAATTCCGCAATTCGAAGATATAAGGTCAGTAAACTTATAAGCGTCTCGATTGGCGGATAAAATAACAAGAACCAGTAATCTAAATTGAATTCAAGACAGCAGTTGTTGATTCATAAACATAAAATTTACAATCCTATTCACAACCTAGGTCAAAAGACAAGCGAACAGTTTCGAATTGAGAAAACAGGTCGATCCTTACCAGTTAATTTGGCGTTGACACTTTAGATTGAATTGCATAATTGCATGAATTTTGATTACTGCAGCCAAGGAGATGTCTCGGCCATCCAGATTAGGTGACTAATATAAAACAAGTAACTTGTTGCCTTATCCGGCTTGCAAGGTACTTCAGTCCCCCTATTTTAAAGTTTTTTTGAAGAGTAACAAGTTTAATAATTGTTCGGTCAAAATTTAAGATTTTTCTGTTTCTTCCTTGAGGCATTTTAGCCGCCCGCTCTCCATCATGCCAGCTTCCGGTTGAGGAGCTCCCTCACTCCCGATTGAAAAAGTGTCGATTTCTTCGATATCATCTTGAGTCGTACCGTAATTGGACGCGGAATTATAATCCATGATTTGTATCTCCTCAGTGAAGTCTCCTCGAATCGTTTTCTTAAGTCGATACGGCATGCGTTTTGTGTTGGAAACGCAGAGTGCACGGTCAGTCAGGTCCAAGTGTCCTGCATTGGGTCCATGTTGCCTGCAATGGGTCTTTCAGGGATCTTTGTCGTTTGTTCAGACCTGGGAGCGATTTGTGCCTCTGATGTTGACCGTGTAAATGTTCCTTTCAACCGTTGTAATTTAAGCGGTTTCCATTCGAAGGTGGAAATTAAGGGTTTGAAGTTCTTATCAATTGTGGAACAGGGCTTGCATTTCTCAGCTTTTTTGATGATGTTTCTGTTTATGAGGCCATCATGTCCTTACGGATGTAACAATCAACTCCAGTTGTCCCGGATGAGCAGCTGGAAACCATCCATCTCTCAAGACTGAATGTATCACAACTGATCGTCAACACACAAACACACACATTTCCTTTTTCTACGTGGTAGCCCCTACAGTGCTGGGGATAGAGTTGACCCATCGTCTTGCACCTGTTTGTTGTCTTCATCCACTGAATATGCGCCACCAATTTGCTTCTAACTTGTCCGTTAAAATAACTTCCACTGATTTATCGGACTCCGTGTCTGATTGTAATAGCAAAACGATTGTGATCTCTTTCTGGATCCTTTGGGGTTTTATTTGCGTATTCCGCAATCACATTGTTCGTTGGACAGTCTGACTGGATTCGAAGTTCAGTTGATTTAACTTTTGTTCGAACATAAGGTTTCTTGGTTCCTTTTTGATATAGCTGCGATTTTCTGTAGCTCCGTTTTATACTAGGCGTCGTTTTAAGGAACTTTAGTCGTCTTATAACCTTTTGGAATGAGTTTTGCAATTCGATTATCACAGCTGGACGTTCTCAAAGTGTTTCTATTGAATAAACAAATCACGTGCGTACTTTCGATGAATGTATGTCGTTTGTTAATGGCTGGCCCAAATCAAAATCAACTCGAAGCAACCGATCAATCGATCTTGTTAATTTTAATTAATAAGTTTTACTGAACCGATGAGATTTTGCTATACTGAATAATGCTCTATGATCAGTGATTACGGTATTTTGTTTCCTTGCAGATAATATCAAAAATGTGCCAATGAACAAACTACGCTGAGTGATTCTAACTCATTAGTCAAGTATTTTTGTTCACAATTGTTCAAGTAAGGTGAAGCATAAAACAGCATTCCATCCGGATTTTATTTTTTTGTTCCAGTTTCCGGACTGTTCCGTCTTTTGACGCATCGCAAACATTCCAAGTGTCTTTACTCTGGTCATAGCGGTTTTGCGATTTTTTTTGCTCACTTTAGTTTCCAAAAGTTCAAGTTTGTTTGTGTGTTGGTCAGTCTTGTAAAATTTTTGACGTCTCGTGCCATACTTGGTAAAAAAACTTCAAAAAAGCTGCATCGAACCCATTAACGACTTTGGTTGTGAACGAATTTTAGGATTGGCCATTTTGGTGGTCGCGTTGATTTTTTTTATTTGATGCTTTAGGTTCTTCTCTGCTAAAGTGAAATCTCAACCTCTCGAAATTTTTTTTCATAAATTGACATTTCTAAAAATAATGAAAAATTGCTATTTCAACTATTTGACACATGAATTAACCGATCAAACATGATGTCTGCGTTGCTTCTAGTGACTATGAGGTTGTCATCCAAAAATCAATATTTACCTCGTAATCCTAGAAGAGTTTTGTCTAATGGTTCTTGGAAGATGAATGGAATGTCGGTTAACTCATAAAATCCTGTGTGGAATTGGAAGGTCATTGTGGCCCCAAAAGGACTTGTTAAGTGTTTCAACCATGTTTTCTGCTATTGATTTTGGACTTAAATGTCCACACTACTGTTTTTGCACCAGCTTTTTTTGTTGTCCGATGCTTTAGCCACCATACATCATATACTCTTCGCATGATGAATCTCTGTACCGTTACAGGTCTATCACGGCCTTTCGATACTCGATGTTTCAGGATAACTACTCCGTGTCCAATTCTGGCCACTCGTTGCCAATTAAACTCACTCGGATCCTGTTTCCCTTTAAAAAGACCTTCTGTGGTCCAATCATTTTTTAGATCGACACGGCACACCCTAGCAAAATTATTTTTTTTTCCAAAATAAATGTTTCAGGCTTTTTCTACTGCGGAGCAAGACGATTTGTGATTACAAGACCATTGCAGTTCACTTTCCTTACAGGTTCTCTTCACCTTCGTCTAATATACTCTCGGAGACTGTTTATTCTTTGTTTGCTTCGGAGTTTGTTTATTATTGATAATTGAAATTTCTCCTCCTTCATGAGGTAATTTACTTGAAATTTGTCTTTTGTTACCCTGTGTTTTCTGCCAAACAGTTTCTTGTTTTTTTTTTAGGTTCATCGCCACTTCTAAAATTTGTGCCGGGTTCAGGGCCTCCCGCATTAATTTTTTCTAGATGTCGCTATTAGCCAAGTTCAGGGTGATTATGTCTCATAACCACTTTTCTTCGGAGGTTCCTATATTGCATACTTGAGCTATTAACCGAAGTGTCGCATTTTTTAGATTAGCAAAGTGAAAACATCAAATGCCATTTTTCTGTGGAAGTTGGATGTGTCAACATTTCACATAATCCCATAGTCTTCACTCTTTGATCTGTTATTTCTACATTTGCATACCAGCCTCTTTTCCCAATGAAAAGAAGACATATGATTTAACCAGTCTATTCACTATTTTAAAAGGATTGTTCCTATTTGTGACTTCTAAAGCCTCTGGTATTCGTTTTCCACAATATAATTAGCTTTTCATACCCATCGCTCCCAATCGGAATGTTGAGTGTGATGGGCATCTTTTATTTCTTATGTAGGTTTGATTGGGAGTACCAACTGAAATGGATTTTCTTGAAAAAGGTCCTCCAAGTCAACACTTGTTTTGACTATAATCGCCAGTGTCACCTGTTGCTTCCATTCCTCCCATTTCAGTGGAGGCTTTTGTGTTCGCCGTTCCCAGAAATCATTCATTTCGAGTTGTTCTTTCTCCTTTGCTGGCTGCGCCACGTGGTGAGGGATTTGAGGAACTAATCCAAATCAAAGGAATTTGACGATTTAAGGTCGTTACGCATAAAAATATCTCGCTTGGCCGATGAAGTAACTGGAACAAGTAATCGAAAATGACCTCAAGATAGACGTTTTTGTTCATGAAACACGATTTATAAATTTATTCACAACCTAGTTATAACGAGAGTCCAATTAGATTACTGCAGCCAAGGACATGTCACGACCAACCAGATGGAGTGACTATTAAAATCAATGCAACATGTTGGCCTCTCCGGCTAGTGAGGTACCCCAGAACGATCAAAAATCTGTAGTTGCGCCAAGGTTTAAGTAGCGCAAAGTGTGGGAAATTCTTTACAGCCCGCTGTAGAAGAGTTATATTATTCAACTGCTCCGTTCTGAGAATCTAAACACATTTGAAGCCCACACAAAATTCTGATAGTTGATTACAAAGAATTTGACGAAAAAACATTTTCAGTACGAGGCCAAACTGTGCACTGGATAGGTGCACAATTTTGTGTCTGTATGTTCCTGGATTCCAGAGACAAGTCTTTAAACATGTGTAAATTTTGTCGGAACGATCAAAGGAAAGTAAAGAACAAAAGAAGAACAAAAGGAGCGTCCTTGTTGCGGAATCCGCTTACAATGCACAAAATGCACAGTTCGGCCTCGTAATGTTTGTTCCCACAAAAATTCGTTTACTCAATTTTTCTGCATTCCGTTAAATTCTGTTCGCTTAATTAGCTTTTTGTCGAGATTGATTTCGTTTATACAGTTTTTAATCAAAGATAGATTATTTATTGATAGAGTCAGTGGAGAAAAAACGCAGAACATCAAAAAGAAGGCGGATAATTGAAACATTTTTATTTTATCCGAAACAGAAAAACTGAAATGGCAAACCACAATAGTCAGTGGAGTCCAAAAAAAACTAAGGCTGCTGCTGATGTTCGTGGAATCTGTGAAACTGTCAGTTAAACAAAAGTCGAATT